CAGCCACTCCTCGGAAACATTATACAGGGTTGCTGTGGGTTGGAATAGACTTGATGGCACCTAACAACAACAACAAAATATATATGGAATCCTAGAGTAGCACTACAGGATAAGCACTGGAGTGGTAACCAGTCAGTGGTTCAAACCCACTAACCACTCCTCAGAAACCCTTTACAGGGTGGCTATGAGTTGGAACAAACGTGACAGAATTTCTCATGTGAGCGTATGTATATGTGTGTTTGCATCTAAGTATCTATGGGTCTTTGTGTGCATGCTACCTCCCAGGGCCCATTTCTGCTCTTTTCCTGAACTCCAGCCCTTCACTTGAGTGTGAATAGCTGACTCTCTGTGTGTGCCTGTATGATAGTTTGTGTGTGAGACTGTATATCAGTGTGTGTGTGTGTGTGTGTGAGCAAGGATTTGCCTTAGCAAAGGCTGTCCTATCTGCTCACACAGGCTCTGCCCCCATCCATCAAAGCCTGAGCCAGCTGTGGGGTACCCCAGCTCTGGCTTCTACAGACTTTAACCCTCTGGTTTGCCCCTCCCGCAGTGGACCATGGGCCATTCCTTAACCTTTACTTACCTCAGTTCCTTATGAGTAAAAACGGGGTGATATGAGGAGACCCCTTGTTGGGTGGGGAACTCATAGGAAGCCCTAAACAGTACCCATAGTGCCTTGGTTATGTGGCCTCACTGAATGGAAGTCCTGCCTCCGGGAAGGATTATTGGGGGGCAGGAGAGGGTTGTCTAGGGTTGGAAGACAGGGATTTTGGTTGAAGTAACATTTCCTGAAGGCCTATGGGAAAGCTCGTCTATTCTCACCCCTTCTCTCTCCTTATCCTCACTGCTCGGACACTCGGTGCTCCATTGTTCACCCTGTCCCCACCTCCTCACTCTGGCCCTTTCCCCTTTCCTTCACCAATTCTTGTGGGCTGGGGCTTTTCACCTGTCTGCATGTCCTCTTCTCGCCCGGTCTGTTCCCCACACCTGGCTCTCTTGTTTCCCACCTGCATCTCCGGTCTGTTCCCCACACCTGGCTCTCTTGTTCCCACGCCTCATCTCTTTCGGGTTCCTATCCTCTCCCCCCTCCCCCCCCACGCCTGTATCCATCCCTCCTGTCTGTCTCTTCTACCCCCCGCATGCAGTAAAGGATGCGGACGGCGTTCTCTGCCGTTACAAGAAGATCCTGGGAACCTTCCAGAAGTTGAAGAGCATGTCTCGCGCCTTCGAGCACCACCGAGTGGACCGCAACACAGTGGCTCTGACCACGCCCATCGCGGAGCTGCTGATCGTGGCCCCTGAGAAGCTGGCGGAGGTGGGCGAGTTCGACCCCTCCAAGGAGCGCTTACTGGAGTACTCGCGCCGATGCTTCCTGGCCCTGGATGAGGAAACGCTCAAGAAGGTGCAAGCTCTCAAGAAGAGCAAGCTGTTACTGCCCATCACCTACCGCTTCAAGCGGTGATTGCTGCCTGGACACGCCCACCACCCACCCTCTCCTGACCCAGTCCTCCCTGCCCTCTCCCACTCCCGGACGCGTCCTTGAGTGGGACCGCCCGGCTTATTGGTGGTGGGTGAGTGGAACCCTACCCACCCTCTGGAGGTGCATCTATGTGATTGGGACCCTCTCCAAACCCTTGTGTGTGTGTGTGCATGGGCCTGGGAGGTGAGTGGGTGCTCCTCCTAGGGTCTCTGTAGGACCATGTGTGCCTCTCTTCCTTGCAGACACCCGCTCCCACCTCTCTGTAGATGTATCTGCCCCCTTGCTCCCTGTATTCCCAGCATTCCTTTTCCCCTCTTTCCCGGGATTGTGAGGTGGGGGGGGGGGCTCACTTATCCAGGCTCTCAAGAGCTACTGCCCAGGGCCTGTTTCTGCCCTTTCCTGAACTCTGGTACCTTCCTCCAACAAGAAAAACCTTTACTGGAGCGACCCTAGCCCTCTGGGCAGAGGGCTGCATGGACTCCCATGTCTATCCCCGGCCTCTGAAAGAGTCTGGCCAAACTCGACCTTCCCCGCTGGGAGCGTCTCACCCCAGTTCTGGGGTGCCCCCATCGATATCACCTGTGACAGAGAATTATGCAGATAATTTAAATTAAAAAGAAATGAAAACATTTGGAATAAATCAGGCCTCAGCCTCTTGCTCAGAGGGGGAACGTTGTCAGAAGGGGGTGGTGGTTGCTACGGAGACGGTGACAGGGCCCTTGGGGGGTTCCAGGGAGCAGGCGGTCAGGCAGGAAACAGGGAAATGGAAGACAGGGTGTAATTAGCCCCCTGCAGGCAGAGGTGGTAGGAAAAGCAGCTGTGTCCCAAAGAACAGAAGGGCAGAGCTGTGGCGAAAAGGCGTGAACACTGTCAATTGCTTTATTTGGGATGTAGGCGTGGCGGCAGTAGGCGGGACCCAGAGACTTCTAGCCTTGATGGTTACCTGGGGGACCAGGTAATCTTGGGGCGGAGGCTTTCGCCGGCCCGCAGGGGGCACCACTGCCAGTTTCATTTGTCTCCCAGAAGTGCATTCGTGCGCTTGCGCGGTGGAAGAGAGAGCGAGCGCACAGAAGTGGTTGCTGGGACAACCAGGAGAGGGCGTGCTTGCTTAACGGTCGGGGAACATCTATCTTTACGATAAGAAGGGAAAATCTAGCGCATGCGCACAGTGTATTCTGGAACCTGTACCCCTCACGGGGAAGTATACCTCACGTCAGACGATTCCTACGCAGCCGCAAAAGCCTACCTCGCTCCTCTCCGCTTCTACCCTGCGCAGGCGCACAAAGCCGCGCCGGCAACCTCCGCAGCGGCCGCGCGCACCCTTCATCCCGCTGGCTGCTTTTGGTAGCGCAACCTCTTTTAGGCCTTCCACGAGAGCGCCCCATCTTTTCCTCCGCTCTCCTCAACCGGGGAGCCAAGAGCCAGGTGCCGTGAGCCCGCCCCCCTTTTTCTTCTGACCCACCTCGCCACCGTCCTCCCACCCATTTTGGGTCCCGAAGCCGGAAGGAGCCGAATCGTTGACGGAGAAAGCCGAAGCCTGTCCCTGCGAGTGGCGGAAAGTGCCGAAAATTTCCGGGCGGGTAAGAGTGAGCGAGTGGAATCTCCGGAAAGAGCCGAAGCTTGGAATTGAGCAGAAATCTTTGAACAGGCCGGAGGACGAGTGTCAGAAACCTTTCGGTACAGTTAGGATTGTCAGAAATCGCCGGGCCGATTTCTTGGAAAAGGTAACGGAAAAGAGTGGGGGGACTGGAAGAAGCTAACTTTTGGGACGGTTTGAATTGTCGGAAGTAGCCGAACCCTTCGAGCAGCTCGACGCGGAGGAAAGCGAGGACCTACGGAACCATCCGAACGTTGAGGAGGCAATCTCCGAAAAATTACGAGGACCTGGGAAGCCGACGAAGTCCTGTGTTCGTGTGTTTTCGGAAAAGCCGAAGCCACCGCCTCCCGGCCTTCGCCGGAGCAAGGCCCTGTGGGGAGGGACAGCTCGTGGGCGGGCGGGCGGGTGGGCGGGGCGAGGGGGGGTCGGAGCTGGGGCGGGGCGGGGCGCCGCAGCTTGCTTAGGTAGGAGGCGGCGAAGCGCCGACCGTGGCCGGAAGTAGCCGAAGCGGGCGGCGGAAGTAGCCGAAGCGGCCGGAGCGGGCGGGCGGCAAGGCGAGGCGAGAGCTGCACAGGGCCCTACGCGGCCGCCTCAGCATGTCGGACTTCGACGAGTTCGAGCGGCAGCTCAACGAGAATAAACAAGGTGAGGGCGCTGGAGGCATGGAGACGGCGGTTGGGGTGGCTTTTCGTTTCCCTCTTCGCCCCGCGCCATTTTCTCCCCTTTTCCCTCCTCCTTTCAGCGCCGCGCGGCGCCATCAGCCACCTTCCTTTCCTCGCTCGGCGGCGCGCGCCTGGCCCACGTGACCTCCCGGCGTTCTGCCGCGCGCGCGGTGCGGGAAAGGGGACGGCGGAGCTCGGGCGCGTGACGCATGCGCGCCTCCGTGCCCGTTTCCGTGCTCCACGTGGTCCCCGGCGGCGGCGGCGGCTGGGCAGTGAGCCCTCTTATTATCCGGACGTCCATTTCCCTTTTTAATATCCCCTTCTGTGGACAAGATAGGTCAGCTCCCGTAATTCGTACTTTCTCCCGCTGTCCTGGTACTTCCGCTTCCGGTCGGGCCCACGGCCCTGTCTCCACGCCCCCTTTGTTTCCAAAATGGCGGTTATGGGGCCTGGCCCCCCCATCCTTCCTTCACGTGGACCGAGGTGGTGTCGCGGACCCCGAGTGCGGGCGATCTCGGGGTCCTTCCCGCACCCCTGGTGCACGGCCTTCTGAGAGCCGCAATTTCCTGGGGCCGCCGCCATGAACTGGAGCGCTTGGTGTGCTCGTGTTTCTGCTTCAAAGAGGGGAGGGAGAGACCGACCACCCATCGTCCTTAGCCCAAGTACCCGCCCAGCGTGCATCTGCCCCACGCGCACGCTGGTACGGGCTGTCCTGATCGTCCCGATACGTGGTGTGCCTCCCTAGCCCCCCAACGCCGACGTACTCCAGCATCGGGGTACCATATAGAGATGAGGCCCGAGGGTGTGGTGGGGTGCAGGCGGGAGGAAGGGACCCGCAATTAGAACAAAGCACGTGGCCGCGCTGCCCTGCCGAGGGACGCCCTGGAGGTTGGGCCCAGGAGAGCCCTTAGACTAAGTCTTCTGTTCCTCTTGCCTCCTCCCTGCTTGGTTTCGGGACTAAAGCAGCTGAGTCCCTGGCACGGTCGGGGACGTGGGTCTCCTGGTGCTTGAGAGTGAAGAGCCCCCGTGCCTACTTGGATTTCTGGGTGAACACGGGAAGGCTCGGGCATTCTTCTTGAGCCCAGGAAACTTGGATAGGTAGGGAGGTGGCTGGATTAGGGACGGGAGCCGGGGAGGAAGCAGCGTAAACCCGGTGCCTGCTGGTGCCGGCTGACTCGGTGATCCTCTCCGCCGATTCCGTTTATCTAAGACACTGCTGGAGAGCGCCAGCTTTGGAGTTGCTTGAGGCTACTTGCCTTTTCAGATGCTTATTTGGTTGGTGAGTATCTGTGTGGCTTGATACACGTCTGTAATTCGGTGTGTTTCTACTGTTTCATATGTAGATTGGCTCTTGTTTTTTTGATTGTGGGCCTCTGAGAGGCTCAGAGAGGGTGTTAGTATCCATGGTCTTTAAACTCGCCAGTGTTTATCTCGGTCGGGATTAAGCTTTTCTTTGTAGGCGATTCTGAGTAGATCCTTTCACCAGGCCCTGGGGGCAGAAATGATTTCTTTCCTGGCTGGAGAAAACGGAGGCCCAGGAAATGCATGCATTCTTCCCGGTTTTCCTCTGGTCAGAGGCAGCATGGGGGGCCTTTGGCTATTGTGATGGCATCCCCAGCTGTCAGGCTTGGGGTCCCACCTGTGGGGAAAGGCTGGGAAAGGTGCCCCCTTCTGTGGAGGCCTCACGACCCCTGGGCAGACTAGAGGAAGAGAGTGTCTCAGTGTGAAGTTGGAGCCTTTAAGGTTGGTGAGGTCAGAAGTAGCTGACCTTGGTCCGGTGGGATGGAGTGAGGCTCTCTACTTTCTCAGTGTCTCCCCAGACCTGACCCCACTGGGGCTGCCTTCAGTCCTGCAGGCTCAGTCCGAGATTAGTATGTAGAACAGGCTTCCAACCCCAGGCCTGCTCTGCCCTGGAGGGGGGCTCCTGAACTCCTGCACCTCCAGGGGCCCCAGCAGGCAGGCACCACCGATGCTGGGGGAACCCCTTTCTGCTGGTCATTGCCTTTGTTGCATTGGGCTACGAGCTGGGGGCTCTCCATAGTCCAGGCTTTCAGGGTTTTTTCGTGAGGGGGCTCCGAGGAGGTCATTCACTAGGTCAGATCAGACTCTGGAGTGTTCTGCCTGGTGCTTCACTGCACCCACTGAACTGACAAGGAGCAGGCTTTGCTATACTCCTGCTGTCTGGTTTGAGGCAAGTCACATGGCTGCAGTGCCTCAGTTTGATCATCTGGAATGGGAGCCCAGTTATGCTTCCCCCAGGGGTGGGTGGCGGGGACACAGGCCCATGTAAGCAACTCACTGTTTCCTCTTCTAAGGTGGAGGTGTGTTCCTTGAGTACTAGTGCTTCTGAAATTGAGATGCTTTTACAAAAGATGTTTTAATTATGTTGGGAAAATGCAGGAGGGGGACTGGGGACTGGCCAGGACCACTGCCGCTGCGGGCTGGTGGAGCGCTTTAGAGATCCCTGGCATCTGAATTGAGGAGACAGTCCAAGGGGGAGCCTTGCTCTGTGCCTCCTGGGTTGGGCCTTGCTTCACCCTCGTGTCCGCCATCCTCCCCCCTTGAAAGCCAAGGCAGTTAGCCTCCAAGTGAGAATGGGTGAGGGACTGCAGAAGCAGCTGTCCATCTGGTCCTGTCCTCCCTCTGGTGGAGCCTCTGATAGCCCACCAGCGAGGCAGGCAGGGTGGTGAGGGGGCCCTCGGAGAAAGGGGGTGGGGTGGGAAACATGAGCTTGTCTCTCTCCTCATTATTCACCTGCTTCCCCGGCATCCGATCCCTAGGCTAGCTGCCAGCTGCCTCACCACTTTCTTTTGAAGGGTCTGGGGGCCTTCTTGGACCTTCAGTCTCTAACCCTGTTCTTCTGAGCAAGGGTCAAGCCCTCCACCTCCAAGGACTGGTGGGTAGAGGAGCTCTCTCAGGTCACTGCCTGCTGGATGTGTTCTGGCAGGCCGGCCCCAGCGCCTCCCCTCATCTTCCCCTTCCTAGAACGGGACAAAGAGAACCGGCACCGGAAGCGCAGCCACAGCCGCTCTCGAAGCCGGGACCGCAAGCGCCGGAGCCGGAGCCGGGACCGACGCAACCGGGATCAGCGGAGTGCCTCCCGGGACCGTCGGCGGCGAAGGTACTGGTGTACTCAGTAACCCCCACACTCTTGGCTTCACTTGGGGTGGGCTCCCCTCCGTGGCAGGCTCTGCAGAGGCCTGTTCTGCGTGCTCTCGCAGATGCCCCCTCTGAGGCTCTACCTCCCTGAGCTCTCAAGGTGTGGACTGTGTCCCAGCTGGGCCTGCCTACCGGCTGGGGGTCCTCTCCTAGGCTCCTCTCTCTGTCCCTCTCAGGTGGGGACTGTGGGTGGAATCCTGCCTCAGTTTCTCTACCTAGAGAATGTCTGTTCTGGTGTGGGAGCATATTTTGAGCGGAATGGCAAGGCTGTGGGGGCCCTGCTTGCTCAAGCCTCAGCCCTGGCCTGGCTTGGGAGTTTCAGTTTTCCAGGCTGGGGTTTGGTGTTTGGCAAAGATGAGGGTCCCTAGTCATCTCTTCCCAAATTTTTCCCTCCCATCTTCAGCAAACCGTTGACCAGAGGAGCAAAAGAGGAGCACGGCGGATTGATGTGAGCCGCTTTTCCCACCCATTCTGCTGTCCTTACCTTAGCCCCAGCCCAGCACACCGGGACCCAGCCTATCCCTGAGCTAACCCTTCCTGGAGAGGGCTGGGCTAGCTGATGTGGGGGAGCCGAGGGGCATGCAGGCTGGATCCTCAGACTCAGGGTGCCCTCTCCCACTCTGCCCTCCCCATCCCTAGTCGGTCTCCCCGCCATGAGAAGAAGAAGAAGGTTCGCAAGTACTGGGACGTGCCGCCCCCGGGATTTGAGCACATCACCCCCATGCAGTACAAGGCCATGCAAGGTGTGCCTCCCGGGAGGGGCCCAACCAGGGAGGGGTGGGCACTGAGACCCTAGGCTTGGAGGAGGGGGGTCCCGTATCCCTGGAGTTCCTGCCTGGACTTGAGGAGGAGGGGAGAGACCACAACAGAGTGGGTTGACCTTCTGTTGGGATCCCACAAGGAGATGGCACAGTTGCTGGGGGGTCTGTCGGCTGTTTGGGGATGCTGCCCTACCCTTCCTGAGCTGGGTCTGGGGCAACTTTTAAGCAGAAGATGGAAGGTTTTAGGGGGCGTGCAGGGGTGGTTTTGAGCCAGAACCACAGAGTGTTCTGATTTTAATGCTGTTCAACCCTTTTAAAGCTGCTGGTCAGATTCCGGCTACCGCCCTTCTCCCCACCATGACCCCAGATGGCCTGGCTGTGACCCCAACGCCAGTGCCTGTGGTTGGCAGCCAGATGACCAGACAGGCGCGGCGCCTCTATGTGGGCAACATCCCCTTTGGCATCACTGAGGTACTGCCCTCCCCCTAGCCCTCCCCTGTCCCCAGCTCCTCCCAACTCCCTGCCCCTTCTCCCTCCCTGGATCCCCTCCCCTCATCCTGCACGGGTCCGACTCTGCTCCTGCAAGACCCCCCGGCCCCCTCCCAGACGGACCGATGGAGTTGAGCCAGCCAGGGGCCGGGCTGGGGGTGGTCCTCTCCCTCCCTCCTTCCTCTTCCCCCTCTCCCATCTGCCCTCTCCCAACTCCTCCAGCCGCCCAGGGCTCAAGCACACACATAAGTGACCGTCACCGGAGCGAGACAGAGAGGGAGACGCAGACACAGCGCACATAAACACAGACGCACGCGCCCTCGTGTTTCTCTGACACGCCTCTCCTTCTCTGCTGCCTGGCCCGGCCCGGCCTCTCCCCGCCTTCCCTGCCCGCTCCTCCCCTCCCCGTCTCCCCACCCCTTCCCATGGCCCCCCGGAGAATCCCGAGATCAAAGAGTTGTTTCCATTTCTCTTTAAAGTGAAATATTGTGGGGCTGAGATCCCTCGTAGCAACAAAAAGTTTGCTACCATCGTCCAAGGCAAGTAAGGTCCATTCTGACTTTCTCAACCTGCACTTTGCTCCATTTGATAAACCAGCCCCCGGACTCCAGGGCCAGATCCCTCCACATCACTCTTCTCTCCTCCCTCCCCTCCTCTCCTCCCTCCTCACCTGCTCTCGTCTCCTCTCTGTCTTGCGCCGGGTGTCCATCTGTCCATCCGTCGGCTGTCTCATCCTCCCTGACCTGTTCCTGGTTCCCGCCTGCTCCGCTCCCGTCTCTGCTCTGAGTTTCTCTCCCTGGTCTCCTCTTTCTCCTCATGTCTCCACACTGTTTCTCCTCTCACCTCTCTGGCTCGTCTGGCCCCCTCCGACCCCTTGCCATCTCTGACCGCTGTGCCCTCCTCATTGTCCTCATGCTTTCGTTTCCCCTCTGACCCCCCCCCCCTTCCCCCCTTGCCCCCACATCCCTCTGTGTCTCCCTCTCTCACCCTTCCCCTCCTCTCTCCACCTCCCCTCCCCACCCCCCCTGTCTCCTCTTCCCTCTGCAGGAGGCCATGATGGACTTCTTCAACGCCCAGATGCGCCTGGGGGGCCTGACGCAGGCCCCTGGCAACCCGGTCCTGGCTGTGCAGATCAACCAGGACAAGAACTTTGCCTTTTTGGAGGTGAGCCGGGCACTTGAAGGGAGGAGGAAGCTGGTGTCACGTGAGGACCTGTCCCTTGTTGGGGGCTGGCTCTGGGCTGCTGTGTCTCTGACCCCAGCTCCAACAGACGCCTCAGGGAAAGGACAGTGGGGGACGGACGGGCAGTGGGGGACGGACGGACAGTGGGGGACGGTGTATTTAGTTTTCGATGCTCTGAGGCTTGCTCTTTTACCAATCAGCCTTGGAGTGTTGTAGATGTTGTTAGGTGCTCGTCTCCCTTTTTGTACTTGATGGGGGCCTGGCAGCAGGGGGGCTTCTAGCAGCCCTGCTCTGGAGTGCAGCTTCAGTGCACCGTCCCTTCCCTGTGTGGCGTCTCGCGTCCTAGCATATGTTTGTGGAGCATGGCTTCTTAAGGCAGCAGCTGTGGTTGTGGCTGCCTGGTTCTCCTGGTGCCACGCAGAGCTGCACACTAAACATCTACCCGACTGAAGAGGCTCCTTCTTTGGCTGCTTCTCACCACCCTTGTGCCCCCCCTACAGTTCCGTTCAGTGGACGAGACCACGCAGGCCATGGCGTTCGACGGCATCATCTTCCAGGGCCAGTCATTGAAGATCCGCAGACCTCATGACTACCAGCCACTGCCCGGCATGTCGGAGAACCCCTCGGTCTACGTGCCTGGTGAGTGGAGCTGCCAAGGAAGCAGTGCTTCTGGAGGGCTTTGTGAATTGGGCTTGTCCCCCGCTTGGCAGACGTGATGCCCAGGACCCAGAGAGTGGCAGGCTAGGGCCGGGTTGGAGGCATTGCGGGAGGTCAGGCAGCTAGCTGGCTGGCAGTCAGGGTCTGTGGCCTCCTGGTGCTGGGATGTCGGGCGAGTGACTCCATCTCTCTGGGCCTCAGCCTCCTAGGGAGGGTGTGTGGGGGGACAGCGCACTAATGAGTGTGTGTATGCGTGGGCGTGCATGTGGGTGTGCGAGCGAGTGAGCGCGATGTCAGCAGAGCTCCCGGCGTGGGGTCTGGCGCGTGGACGGTCACACGTTTGCCTTGAATCCTGTGCTCTGGGCCCATTCCCCACAGGCCTGATCGGTGGATCGTACGGTGACGGGTCGGCACGCTCTTTCCTTGAAGGTAGTACATGTTCTCAGCTTCCTGGTCTTTTAGTGGGGCCGCTCCGCCCCACCACCCTCACATGAGAGCAGCCACACCACAGTCACCGCGAGGCCTGCCCGGGGGCTGCCTGTGCAGCTTGTACGGGCTCCCACCTTGGAGCGTCACGTAATTTCCACAGGCCGTGAAGTCGTCTTCCTTTACAGACAAGTGGCCCGGGGATCCAGGCAGAAACAAACGGGTGACCTCTAGTGTGCGCTGGGTGTCGGGTGGAGAGCGCAGGGTCTGCTGGCTGACAGCCCTGAAGGACCCTTTAGTGCTGGAGTCGGCTCTTCAAAAGGCAGAGGGCAGTTCAGGACTTGCCCGGGTCCCCCGACTTTCTCCATCCTAACGGACGTGGAAATGGGGAGACTCTGCAGAAACGGGAGGAATCTCCACGTATGTATGCAGACAACCAAACTTCCAAACCCAGTAAGAGATTTACAAACCAAAACTTGAATGTGAATTGGGTGAAGGTTTACAGTGCACATTAGTTCTCCACTCAGCAATTCCATACACGTTTTGTTTCTTCACTGAATGCAGCCCCTCAGTGAAACATCATTTAACCTGCTTCAGCCCTGTGTTTCCTGTTTCCATTCCTCCTCTTTTCCTAATCCTCCTGAACCTTGTCCTTGGGTAAGTGCTGCCCTCGTGAACTCAATGGCTGGTGACTCTAAGGTGTGCGGATCTGCCTGGTGTAACTGTCCCGTTCCCCGCCCCCTCCCCACACCACCACCCATAGACCAATTGTATGGCTGACTATTGAGTCCTGGGGGTGAGTTCATTTCCAGACCTGAAGGGGTGACCCAGGGTCTCAGATCAGTAGGCTTGGTCTTTTGTACGATTCTGCGTTTTATTCCACATTTTTCTCCCTTTTTATCCAGGACCTCCTCTGTGATCCCTTTCAGAGCTGTCAGCAGTGGTAGCCGGGCACCATCTAGTTCTTCTCGTCTTAGGTTGTAGAGGCTGAGGTTTATGATCTCCGGGTTTCCCTTGGACTGTTTGCATGTATCTCTGATTTGGTTCCCTACGGACGTAGACTATTCTTTGTGTGCCCGTCACGTTCAGTGTGTTTGAAATCATTGTAGGCTCCATAGCTCTCCGCTCACTCTGTGCTTACTCTGTTAGGCATTGTCCTGAGTGTACCGGGTGGGTCATCTTGTAATCTCCATAGCAATTCTACTGTACAAGGGTCAGCTGGTGTTCGCCCAGGTACCTAATCTGGACAGTTGCCTGTTGGCCATTAAATCAAGTGTTACTGGCCCATGGCCAGGCCGTCTTGTTGCAGACTGGCTGCTTGCGCCGTGCTGTGGAGGCCAACCAAGTTAGGTAGTGTCAGAAGAGACTGATTGGAAAGAAATCTCTCTGACCTGGCCCTTGGCAGAAAAGTTGGCTGACCCCTGCTGTAGTAAAGACTGCTCTTCCCTCTCACCGTGGGGGAAGCTGAGGCGAAGAGTGATGAATGACTTGTTGAAGGTCACCAAGTGTAGAGTTGGCATCCGCCGTCCTGACTTGCCGCCTGACCTCAGAACCCACACCTAGCCCTTCCTGCCTGTTGGCATGGAATACGGCAGGTGCCTTTGACTGTTGTCCTTATTAGTTAACGTCACTGTGATTGGGGGATAGGTTATAGAGCAAATTGGTGTCCCATTCAACAGCTGATTCCAGTTTTGTCTCGCGACACTGAGGGCAGTCCCTTGACTGTAACAGTAGCATCCTTTCCACTTCCTGCCTGCTTCTCCCATGGCCATTTGTCTTTTCCCTCCTCCTTCCTGCCTTCTGAGCTTTCTACCTGGGCATATGCTGCCTTTTGTTCTTGTATGGTTAACTGCTGGCAGGCACGCATACCTCCCTGGTGTCACTGTTCACATTATAGACCCTTTTGGTGGAAAGTTGAGCCACTTGGGTGAGTCCAGTTCCAGGCATGGGGGTGACTAAGGGTCATAGTTTCTAGGGACCATCTTCCCTCACTGAAAACCCTTTTCCAGAGAGAGCTGTCTTCTGCTGTGATTAAACAGAGAGAAATCACTTGTTGACCCTCTCTGGGATCCACCTGCCCTCAGAGACGTGGCGAGTGGCCAAGGGACCTGAACTAGGTGGATGGATTTGGTTTTAGGGGCTGGGACTTAACAAGATGTGTGATTCTGTTGTAAGGGCTATACGTTTATATATAAAATTTTACTTAAACACTCCCTGCACTAAAAAAACAACCACCAAAGAGAGAAAAAAAATAGGGAAAAGCATTTGATAAGATCAGTAGGCATTCTTGATTGTGATTAAGAAAAAAGCCAACTTGGGAAACTGGAAGGGGGAGCCTCCTTAATCTTGATGGAAGGGCACAGACCTGAATAAACTCAACCTGTTAACTAGATACAGGGGTGAGCTGTTCTATGTTAGGAGCCAGGGGAGGCTGCCGATTAGCGATGCTGCGGGCTCCCAGCCCATCTTTCTGAGAGGAGACTGAGGATACCGGTGGAGCTGGCGCTGGTTGTGACCATGAGGCCTGTTGGTCGGAGCCATTGAGTCTGTTATGACCCATAGCGACCCTTTTAGGCACAGTAGAACCAAGTGCCCCACTGGGCCAGGTTTTTCTGGCCAAGGTTTCCCAGTAGTTTAGATTCCTGTTCAGGAATTTCTGACACGAGTCATTAGGCGCAGTGGTGGTTGGGGTCTTCATGATGCGTGAACATGTTCTTCCTTTCTATTCTCATGGTTTTGTTTTCATTTATCTAGTTTCCCTGCCCGTTCAATCATTTTCATCTTTGTTCCAGTCGATTCATTTTGGACCAGGTTAGATAGGTATTTTTTGTTTTTTAAAGAAGCACATGGATCATTTTCATTATTTTTGGAACCAATTTGCTCATAGAAGCTTCAGTCAAGAAATCAGACGATGTATTGTGTTAGGCAAATCTGGTGCAAAAGACTTCTGTAAACTGTTAGAAAGCAAAGGTGTTATTTTGAGGACTCAGGTGTGCCTGACTCCAAGCCATGGTATTTTCGGTTGCCGCATGTGCGTGGAAAAAAGGCCAATCTGGGAAGACCCGGTATGTTTGAATTGCTAGATGAATGAACAAATCTGACTTAGAACGTGTTCAGGAGGGACTAGTTCATGGAGAAAGGTGTTATGCTTGGACAAGCGGGTCAGAGAAAAAGAAGGACCCCCATTGAGATAGACTGACCGCGTGGCAGCAACAACAGATTGAAAGAACCATTGTGAGGATGCTGTCGTGGGGTCACTTCTGCCTGTGGCCCCCACGTTGCTGGGAAGGGCTCCGCAGTCACCCCAGCACCCACCATGCCCCTCACTGGCTTGTGGAGCAGCCGTGCTCTATGTAGGGTGCCCCATCCCCAATGACAGAGAAGCCTGAATGGCATGACCCCCGTTGCCCATCCCAAGGCCCTGGTTTAGTGAGCGCTCCCCTGGAGACCCTCACACAGGGAGCTGGCATCTGCCTCCGCACAGCCAGTTTCAGACAAGGAGCTGGTCTGGTGGGGATGTTGCCCCTAGTGTGTCAGAGCCATCGGGGTGGTCATGTGGCCTTCTTGCCTGTCGGGTGCTGTGTAAGAGCCCGAGAGCCTATTAGACACAGGGCCTGGCCTGGCCTGGCCTGCTCGCTGCGCCGCTGGCTGCTCCTCTCATTGACGGCGAGGGCACAGCATTCCTACCTTTGTCGCTCCCTGAGGCTCAGGACATGTGGCAGCGGGGCCAGCGGAGGCAGGGCCGGATGGCTGGTACACATCTCACAGTTGGCTGGGTGGCACCTAGAAATCTGCACACGTGATGAGGGGCAGCAGGCTGTACCCCCGGTAGGCGCGCATGTGCACGTGTGTGAGAGAGCGTGGGCGGCTCATGCCCCTTCTGGCTCTGCGTGTGCAGTGGTGAGCGAGATGGCCATTGGAGCCCTGGGGACCCTGTTGCCTGCAGGGCTGCCGACATGCAGCGCATCCCCCCACGGCCACAGCAACTTCAGGATCCCTGGAAGGAGGAGGGCTGGGGGAAGATGGTCAGTGGGGAGGCTCGACTTGGGTGGTGTCAGCAAAGGACTGTGAGGGTGATGGAGAGAGAGGTGTGTGTGTCCTTGGAGCCCTTGCTAGTCTGACCTTGAGTGTGACCTTGGGTTGGTTTCTGCTTTCTGAGGCTCCCGGGCAGCACCGTCTCTGCCCATCTTGGGAGGCATTTGTCATGTGCCATGTCCCCACTCCTGGTTAGGCTCGGAGGTGTGGGCGGACACTCTGCCCTGAGCTAGGTACGACGATCTGGTTGGTGCTGGATCCCTAGGGCCCTGGACGAGTCTTAGTACGCGGAGGGTGCTGTGTTGCTGGGTGCCGAGCTGTGCTGGGGGTTGAGCCGCCCTTTTCTCCCCCCAGGAGTTGTGTCCACTGTGGTCCCCGACTCTGCCCACAAGCTCTTCATCGGGGGCTTACCCAACTATCTGAATGATGACCAGGTAAGGCCCCCCTCCCTCTCAGCGCCCACACCTGCAGACCCCCCCCCCCCCGTCCCCACCCTGAGTCTTAATGTCTGTCTCGCTGCAGGTGAAGGAGCTGCTGACCTCATTCGGGCCCCTGAAGGCCTTCAACCTGGTCAAGGACAGCGCCACGGGGCTCTCCAAAGGCTATGCCTTCTGTGAGTACGTGGACATCAACGTCACAGACCAGGTGAGTCCTGGGGCCTCGCCTCGCCCCACCCCACCCTGCCCTACCCTGCCCTACCCTGCTATCCAAGTTGAGGGACTCTTCCAGGAGGGGTAGGGAAGGCCTGTGAGTGAGTAAGGCTGGGCACGCCCACCCACTGTGCTCTTTGCCGCCTCACCCCTGCACACAGGCCATTGCGGGGCTGAATGGGATGCAGCTCGGGGACAAGAAGCTGCTCGTCCAGCGGGCGAGTGTGGGCGCCAAGAATGCCACGCTGGTGAGCCCCCCGGCACGTCATCTTCCATTGGCTAGCGGGACCCCCGGGGGGCAGGTGGGGAGATGTGGCTGGGCCCCTTGTGACACCGCCTCCCCTCCCCCACAGAGCACTATCAACCAGACGCCAGTGACGCTGCAGGTGCCAGGGCTGATGAGCTCCCAGGTGCAGATGGGTGGCCACCCAACAGAGGTGCTGTGCCTCATGAACATGGTGCTGCCCGAGGAGCTGCTGGACGATGAGGAGTACGAGGAGATCGTGGAGGATGTGCGTGACGAGTGCAGCAAGTACGGGCTCGTCAAGTCCATCGAGATCCCCCGGCCTGTGGACGGTGTCGAGGTGCCCGGCTGCGGAAAGGTGAGGGTGGCCAGTCCTGAGTCCCCTCTGGTGGCTCATGCAGAAAGGGGCTCAGCTGCTGATTCTATACAAGATCAAGTAGTCGTGTCTTTCTGAAGCCCAGTACTTTCTGTGCAGTGGGTGCCATGTTAGAAAGGTCCCCTGGTGTGGCCTCTGCCAGGTCCCCTTCCTGACTTGTCACAGCAGCCATCTGCTCTGGCACCACGAGGTTGTGGGCCACACAGGTGCCGCACTTAGCAGGAGTGTCCTGCGTGGGAAGGAGGTTATGCCAGTCCCTAAGGGTTGCTTCGGGCTGTGAGTGTGTGTGGGGAGCAGGAAGGGAAGGACCCTGGGCTCTTGTTTTGTTGGCCTTTGTTATGTATGTATTTTGTTGAGAGTCTCCACAGCTGAACGTAACACCTACTCAACAGCTTAAAGCACGGACACCCTGTTCAAGGTCATGGTTCAGACCCACTTGCACTTAGCATCAAGAAACAATAGTTCTTTAAAAACATTGCTCCAGGCAGATATTTTTCACTAGGTAAGCTAAAGAATTTTGGGGTTTGAAGACTTCAGGGGATTTTTTGGTTTAAGGCTGAAAGATTAGCTCAGGGCTTTCTTGAGCTTCAACAATTCCAGAATGTCTGACTTTGAAATTCTGCTTTACCTTCTTTTAATCAAGATTCTCCGTGTTTGACTGTTAGAAAAATTCTTTGCTCAAAATGTTGCCTGGTGTTAGCTGGGGACCATCCAGGTCTGGTCAGTAGACCAGAAGGAGGCAGTAGTTTGGAGGCGATTAGCTACGGCTCCAGGCAGAGTCTGATTGTTGTCCCTTAGATGGCTGCATGCCACTGAAGGGTGCCTCACCTAGGACCCAGCCCATCCATCCCATCAGGTGTTGCTTGTGTATCAGCAGCCTCAACAGCTAGTTTGTGTGTGTTCTTGTAAATATGTCACGTAGTTTTTGTCAGTTCAACTTTTTACAGTTGTACAACTGCCCAAAAGGGTTTCCAAGACTGCAATCTTCACAGAAGAAGATTGCCTCACTTTTCTTCCGCAAAGCATGTGGTGGGTATGAAGTGCTAACCCTTGGTTAGCCAGAGAGCACTTGGCCACTCAGCTACCAGGATTCCTCTTACTGACAGTGACTACTTAATTATTGGCTGTGAGAGTCTACCCTTGGTCAAATCTTCTTGTTACTTTAAACCCAAACTCAGTGCTTCAGAAGCAAGACCCTCTCCCCGCTGTGGTTTGAAACTTGATTGTTGATCTTGTCCAGCATCCAGACCAACCTGACCTGACTCTGCTTCACAGATCCTGTGTTCTCTTAGGGTCTGGAGGGCTGCAGTGACCCTGCGCCGAGCAGTCTTAGCACTGGTCTTCCAGTGGCGTCTGCTCACTTCCTGTCTCTGCCCCTTTGTGGTCATTCTCACAGTATTTCAAAGGACTTCACCATGCTGGTGTATACATCATAGACAGTCATCACTTGCCTGGGCCCTGGGAATCCCACAATTTTGTACTCACTTTCCTGCACCAGCTGGCTTTTTTACAATGGCCTAAAGGTGACCCTGCTGTGTCGCCGAGGCCTGCTTGTACCTGAAAGCGGTGGATAGTACAGTACTGTCCTTGTCATTACTTGTAGTAGCTCATCCTCTGCATTTCAGGAGGGTGACTGTGTCCTTGGCCTACTAGAAGTCAATTGTACCCATCACCCTTAGTGTCTTATCTGCCCATTCTGTGATCATTTTCTGTTTCAGGGGGATGTCTTACAAAGATCCAAACAAAGACTCCCTACTCCCAGACCTTGGACTTGGTCATAGTCTCTCCCAATTTCTACTAGCTCTACCTACTTCCTCCTCCTCCCTTTTATTTTGAGAGGTCCAGCTATTTTATTCCTTGAGGAAATGGGGTCATTTATCCTAATAGAATATTCTAGGCTCTGGATTAAGCCCATTGTATCCCAAACTTCCCCCTTCCCTTGTTCCTTGTTGATGTCACGTGCCTTTGAGTCTGTTCTGACTTACTGCAATTCTGTATAGGGTTTATGAGGAGCAGCTGGTGAGCTTGAACTGTTGATCTTGTGGTTCAAACCGACTTTTGCAGGCCCAGCGTGTTAATCCACAGCGCCACACCTATACAGGTGGTGAAGACTGGAGTAGATTCTGTGGTTCAAGTTGATCTTTGAGTTCTGGCTTTGCAGATGACGGACCACTGGCCCTCATGTCTGCTTGTCCCCTCCCTCCATCTTGTCTGAGGGGAACATGACCCTGAAAGGGCACCTCTAATGTCTGCAGAGGTGACAAATTGCTTGACTCTCTGGGAGCTGCTGGGCCCTAGTCTTTAATCTTGGGAATTTGGGGTAAACACCCTATAAATCTGTCCCAACAGCTCTTGCAGGCTGTGGGAAGCCCCCTTCCAGCTCAGCCTTCTGCCCTGAAGTGCCTGCTGGGTTTGTGTTCATGCTGGTGAGGTATACCTACTATCCCAATGCTGAGTTTTCACACACCTTTTCTTCCTGCAGATATTTGTGGAGTTCACCTCTGTGTTTGACTGTCAGAAAGCCATGCAGGGCCTGACGGGCCGCAAGTTCGCCAACAGAGTGGTTGTCACAAAGTATTGTGACCCCGACTCTTACCACCGCCGGGACTTCTGGTAGAGGCGGCCAGGGGAAGGTGGGGGCACGACCGGCAGAGGGCTTCCTCCCCTCCCGCGCCCCTCCTCTCCCCTCTCTGAAGACGATGGGCCGCGGATGACAGCCGATTGACAGCCCAGCAGCAACTGGAATGGCAGCGATCAACGGATCGGGGTGGGGAGGGGGCGGGCGGACGGGGATGTGGACACACTGCGCCTGCCCACACAGGGCTGGGTTGGGATGGGGACGGGTGTGCACAGGGTGGGTTAGGACCCCCACGCCCCTCCCCAAACAATCTCTCCTTCCCTCGTACCTTCCCTTCTTGCCCCTGGTAGGAAAATAGCGTGTTTATATTTTATGGCCAAAATATTTTGAATTTTGTTGTCCGGCCCCTGGTGCCCAGCCCCCTCCCCCTCCAGGACCACAGCCCCTGCCCCCTTGCGGCCTCTGGCCCTCTCTGGTCCCCCTGGTTTCTTACGTAGTGGATTCTCTGTAGTCGCCCCTCCTACCCACCTGCTCCCCCACCTCGTGGCCCCGCCCCCCCGTGGCAGTTTCATATTTGCTAAGACGAATTTGCTCATTAAACATTTTGTTGTATTTTACTTTACGGAGCCTCTGTGTCGTATGTCTGACCCTTCCCTTTCCATTCTCCGAGTTCCTGTTGGCAAGCTGTTGGGTGCTTGACCGAGACCCACACAGTGGGGTGGGGGAAGGGGCAGCTTGTCTGGACAAGGCTGACAGGACGTGGGCAGCGAATTGCCCCGGAAGGTCTGGTCAGCCCCAATAGCCCCTGGCAATTGGGCGCACGCGGCCCGCTTCCCCCGATTCCTGTCAAGTCCACAGTCCGCTGGGCACAGCGCCAGTCCCTGCGTAGTCGGCCGGAAATGAGATCAGCGGTGGCGGCTGCGCGGCGGAAGTGCCGCTGTCCCCGGTTTTTCACCCTGGGACTGCGCAGGCGCCTCAGGGGGCGGGGCGCGCGGCCACTTCCGCTTCCGGTCCGTCTCCTCCGGTTGCTTCCCGTCCGCTCGGCGGCTCCCCTCCCCCGCCTGGCTCTCCGCGCCCCCTCCCGGGCGCCGGGCCGGCGGGGCGGTCAGCGTGCGGTCCCCGGAGCGTCCGCGTGTGCGTCCAAGTGCGCCTCCGCCGCGCGCCCCGTGACACCGAGGCCGAGCGGGGACAGGGGGCTGACCGCCATGACCCCCCAGAGCCTGGCGTGAGGGGTCGAGGTGAGCGCGGGCCGGGCGCGGGGAACGGCGGGCGACGGCGCGCGAACCTCGCGGGGCCTAGGTGTCGCGGGCGGGACTGTTCCTGCCGACTCCGGTCATGACTGCCGCCTTTGTGTCTCCGCGTCTGGGTTCCTGTGTGTGTGCTTGTCCGTCCGTCCGTCCGTCCGTCCGTCATCTCGCTGCATCTGACTGCTCCAATCTGTCTCTGTGTTCTTGGGACTTCCGCCCCCCAGCTGTCTCCCGCCGTCGTCTCTAGAACCCTGCCCTAGTGCCCCTTTCCTCACTTTTGTCCCCCTGCCCCTACACTCCATACCGGCATCTCCAGTTGCACGGGGCCCTCCGGGTCCCCGTCTCTCCCCGCCTGGTTTCGCCAGCCTCTCATGTGCGGTCAGACCCCGGGCTCTGCAATCCGAAGCCCACCGCCGCTGAGTCCCTTAAGACTCAAGGCGCTTCTGGGACATAGGGTGTGCAAGGCTGTCCTCATTACGGAAGTAGATTGCCACATCTTTATCCTGGACACCGTCACTGATCTCTCAGTCCGTACCACCACGGCACCAACAGGGCTCCTTACGTGGTAATTAATAATAATAATGAAAAGGAAACCAGCCCTCTGCCGCCGAGTTGATTGGGTCTCCGGGATAAAATTTGCAGCAGCAGCGCTTGGCAGGCTGGCTAATGGTCAACCCTCTAAGCCACTGCTTGCTAGCGGAGTGGTCTTTCACACGTGACTTCTCTTACCCCTCAAACCTCGGTCGTGTGGTTTCCCCTAACGTGCTTTAGATAAATACACGCTCTTCAGATAACGCATCTTGTGGATCCCACTCTTGGAAATGTTTTATTTTTTTCCTGGGAATGAGAGCAGCTGACTTCCGGAGCTCCTGCTCTCTGTGGGGCCCGGAGCCAAGCACTTGCTGTACCCGTTGTAGCTCATCAGCCTGCCAGGTAGAGACTCTCCTTCACTGAGGACTTGAGCAGACTCACCACCCTCCCGGAGACTGCTCTGCTCTGGCTTCACTGCTAGCATTTGGACCCTAATTCCACGCTCCTTCAGTTCGATACCATTGTCCTCAGGAGGTATTCGTCCCAAGTTACTGTCTCTCTTGGATTTGGGGCTTTTCTGCTTTCTATCTCCCTGCCTCGCTCATTCTCTGTCCCCGTTTCTTGTGCCTTTGTCCATCTCCTGAGTCTCTGGGACTCCCTCTGTTGCCTCGGCTTTCTCGAAATTTCTCTCCTGTCACTCTCCTCTGCCTCACTCATTGGATCTCTTAAGTTTTAGTGTGTCTGGCCCGTTTTGGGTCCTGGCTTGGCTGCCTCTTTTCAACATGTGTCTCTAAGTGCCCTACTCTCTGACCCCAGTTCAGGACTGGGTAGCCAGTCTGTCTCATGTGCCCCCATGACCCAGGGAACTTAGGCAGTTGCAGAGCTCAGGATCTGTCTATTCGGGGCTGCTCCGAGCTCCCTGGAAAACCAGGCTCGTAGGAATGACCTGTTTGCCCCCTCCTCCCCCAGCACCCGCCCCTGGGAACATTACTTGAGTGAGTGCAGAAAGGTAGAAGGCTAGAACCACACAGGTGATTTCTATCATCATCCTAAGGGGGCAACCCAGGTGGCGCAGTGGCTGTGCTGCTGAGAAGTTGGTGGTTCGAACCCCTAAACTGCTTCTGTAAAGATTGACAGCCTCGGGCACCCTAGGAGGCGGTACCAAGGAGTTGGAGTCAGCTCAGTGGCACAAGATGGCAACAGCGTGGTTTTCTTGTCCCTCATCTTGGCCTGGGCTGATTGGATGTTGTTGCTGTTGGGGCCCATAGCGTTTCTGATGACTCCTTTTGGAAGGAGATGGCCAGGCCTTTTTTCCTAGTCTGTCAGTCTGAAAGCTGTGCTGAAACCCGTGCAGCATCCCAGTCACTCACAGACCGCTGACGAGCACGGGGTGGCTGCGCATGTGGCGCATTGGCTGGGAATTGAACCCTGGTCTCCTGTGTGGAAGGTGAGGACTCTCCCACTGAACCACTGTGCTGCCCTCCTCATTTAAACGTCAACAGTATGTATTTCAGAGGCCAGGGGCACCCCGATCTTGGGCTGTGGCCTTGGCTGAATGAGGTCACTTCCAGGAGCCCCAGGGCCCTCATCTGCAGTCTCAGCCTGCTTTTGGGACACAGCAGCTCAGTCAGATAAGGGGCCTGTTAAATGAGATAATGTTCCCCAGGGGCTGGCACTTACCCAGGATCTAGTCAATGGGGCTGTTGTATTCACAGCTCTCCTCCTCCGGCGCAGGGTTCCCCTGCATATCCCCTCCAGTGATGTCCCCAGCCTCCCACTGCCCAGTGGCCCCCTCTCTCACCACTACCTGTCCTACCTTTGCTGGCCACTGACTGGCCCTTCTGGGTAGGCCTCTGTTGGGAAAGGCCATGGCCGTGTCTCTGCCTCCACAGGACACGCGGTGACCTGAGTCACAGAGCCAGACGTGTGAATCATGAGGGTGGGGGAGCCTGCTGACGAGCTCTGCGAGGGGATGTTGGCTTGAGTGGGAGTCCCTGGGCCTGGGAGAAGGAGAGGAGGAGCCGCAGGCAGGATGCATGGTCCGGTGACTTCAGCCGACGCCCACAGTACGCTTTGTCGTACGCTGACTGCTCTCAGTCTCCTGGGTCAGTGCGTGCTGCTGCCCAGTTTACAGAGGAGAAAACCGAGGTGCAGAAGTCCAGCGGCCCGCCCAGGGTCTCACGGCTGCTTGGTGACCCTGTCCCCACCCGGCCTGGCCTTGTCTAGCAGGGGCCCTGAGGCAGGAAGGAGCCGGGCAAATTTGAGGAACTGAAAGGTGGACGTGGGTGCTCTCAGACTGAGACGTTGGTGCGGGATGGAGCCTTCCAGGCCTCAGTTAGGGAGGTGCCCTCCACCCTGGGCTCTGTGGGGAGCCCCATTCGCATTTCCAAAGGTTCCCTGCTTTCTTCCCCAGATGCGGTGACCCGCCACCCCCTGCCACGGCCTCTCTGCACGTCACCCCGTCATCGTCACTGCCCCAGGGGACCTGGTCCCCTCGCCACCAGGCACCATGTCGACCTCGTCACTGCGGCGCCAGATGAAGAACATCGTCCACAACTACTCAGAGGCAGAGATCAAGGTCCGCGAGGCCACGAGCAACGACCCCTGGGGCCCGTCCAGCTCCCTCATGTCCGAGATTGCTGACCTCACCTACAACGTCGTTGCCTTCTCAGAGATCATGAGCATGATCTGGAAACGGCTCAACGACCATGGCAAAAACTGGAGGCACGTCTACAAGGTTGGTGGTCTCTGCTCCTCGCCCACCGCAGCCGAGCGAGCGGTCAGTCAGGGGCACAGGAAAGGAGCATGTGGGGTGGTCAGCCTCGCAGGGGAAGGGCTGCTGTTGGGGGAGGGGAAGGTTGAGGGATCTGGTTAGGGAACCTGGTGGAGCGAGGATTAACGCCAGGGTACCGGTAGCTCTGAATGTTGGGGGTGAGCACGAGTACAATACTGTAGGAAGTTTGGAGTCTTAACACTTTATAAGTTTAGACGCCTTGAGTCTCATGCAGGTCGGTGGTGTAGGGGCTTCTGTGTCCCATGTGTCTTCTGGGGGCCAGCCGCACGGGCTTCCAGGGTTATTTCATGTGCCCTGAGAACCCCGGTCCCCTCGTGCTACTGTGACCACAGAGCCGGGTTCTCTCTCAGCCCCCAAGCTGGAAGTCCATACTCAGGGCCCAGGCTCTAGGTGGGAAGCCCTTATCACAGCTTCTCTGGCATCATTCTGGGGGGTCCCTGGAGAGCCTGCATGGTAACATCCATCTTTCTCTGTTTGTGCTCGCTCCCTGTGCCTGATCTCTTTTTCATGACAAGTTGGTGGGAAATGCCATGAGTTTGCGGTCCATTTTTGAACATCCTCCTGCACCTCAGAAGTGATTGGCGTCAGACCCACTTTGCACTGTTGTGGCCTCAGTAACGCAACAAACACCACCCTTATCTGGCTCACAGTGCCCCCTGGGCCGACAGCCAGTGCGTTCCCCCATCTCTGGCTTAGTCACTGTCCTACCAGGACCCCTGCTACACGGTCTGAACTGAAACACTTTCTCTTGAGGAGCCATTGGCTGGTTCGAAGGGTTTACAGCACGTGTTTTGGGGGAGGACATGACAGGTGACGTTCACACATGTGACACTGAGAGCGTCGGATTCTAGAGACCGTTTGCGTCCGTCCAGCTAGCACTCTGGGGTATCAGGCCGCTGGGCAGAGGCAGAGAGCTGGACCTGGTTGTTGCTGGGAGTCGGGGGCAATGCGTAACTGTGGTGTATCTTTTTTTGTTGTGAAAATGCACAACCAGACGTGTACATTCAACAGCTTCTGCCTACTAGTCCGTGACCTTAATGGCGTTCTTCAAGTTATGCACCCTCTTCCCTTCCTAATTATTCCGCCGTCACCAACATAGACTCAGTGTCCTCAAAGCCCAAATCCTCGTGCTCCCCGGTCCCTAACCCCGGGAACCACTAATCATTTCTGCTTTCTATGGATGTTCTTATTTCACATATGAGAGCTCATAAGATATTTGTCCGGTTTTTTTGCAACTAGACTTGAATCAGCATAATTTATGTTCTCAAAGGTTCATCCATGTGGCACACATTAGGACTTTAATGGGTATTTGGACTCTTTCTAGGTCTACTGTCTTTTAACTGAAATTCCAAAGTCCAGAACACTCTGGAAAAAGAAAGCTTGTGGCTGTAGCCACCTGCTGACCCCGCCTGCCCTGAGCTGAAGTGAAATGATTTGTTCAACCTGCGTTGGTCTGGGTCCAGCTTGCGTCCCGAAGGAATTAAGTACAGAACTTACTCGCTCTGGGGTTTTTGTTGTTAAGTACTGTTGTGTCGGTTCCGACCCATAGCTACCCTGCATAGGGTTTCCGAGGAGCGGCTCATGAGCTTGAACCGCTGAGCTTGGCGCTTCAAACTGACTTTGCTGTCCAGCGCGCTTAGCCCCCGTGCCAGCCCAGGACTAGAATTCATGGCGTCGGCTCCAGGGGAAGGTTCTCTCTCCCTGCTGGATTATCACTTCCGCTGGTCCTAGATTCTCACCTGTCTGTACGTGGTCTCTTGTCTTCCATAGCGTCCATTCTTCTGTGCACCTTTACATCTCAAAAGTGACCTGCTCAAGACACACCATCCCGCCCCCTTTGGGCTCGTTAACATAGTACAGAAAATTCATATTCCTAAATGGGATTCTCTCCACAGGGACTTTGTATGACGGGGGCTTCAAAAGCTTAGCAGAAAAATCTCATACTTATTTTAAAAAGCAAAATTGGTTGTTGTTAAGTGCCTTGGAGTTTCTGAGGCTAAATCCTAGCAGGAGCAGAAAGCCTTATCTTTCTCCCTTGGAGCAGCTTGTGGACTCCAGCCTCTGACCTTTGGGTTCGCAGTCTACTGTTGTGCTACAGTTAACTGCACTTCTTATTAAACATCTGTTTTGTCAGAAATGCTTTGTAGTCCCTTGTGTATCTCCAAAGGTGTTGGTTTAAGACACCACTGCACTGATGTGGCCTCCTTAACATAACAGAAAAGGCAAATCCCTACCTAATAGGTCACTTCACAGGTGTACTGTTTACTGACCTCTTGAGTTGACTTTCAACTCATGACCCCATGTGGCAGAGTAGAACTGCCTCAGAGGGTTTTCTTGGCTGGAATCTCATGGAGTCTTGGTGTGGCGCTGTAGGATAAGCACTGGACTTCTGCCTGGAAGGTCAGCTGGAGCAGCAGCTGGGTAGGTCCTCCCTGCCTGCCTGTAGGGTAGCAGCTGAGGTACACCACCGGGACCCCTTCAACAGCTGTAAGCCCCAAAGCCCACTGTTCCAGCTCACAGTGGCGCCCTCTAAGACAGAGCGAGAACTGGCCCGTAGTAGCTCCGGGATTGTCGTCTTTATTGGGACTCCGCGGGTGGCGCTGTAGGATCAGCACTGGATTGCAAACCACAAGGTCGGCAGTTCAAACCCCCCAGCTGCTCCTTGGAAACCCTATCCAGGGTTGCTGTGAGTAGGACCCGCCTTGATGGCACTAAGCGACAACAACAACAATCTTGGAAGCAGACTGCCGTACCTGGCTCCGGCCGAGTGACTGATGCCTTTGAAGGATTTATAGCACATTTTGAGGGCAGTGGAAGAAATGATGAAGTAAAAGAGCTGAATGTAACATTTCAAAAGGTAGCACAAGAAGAGAAAGTGAAGGATTCGGATGAAGTAATGCAAAGGCCTGGAGTCAGAAAGCCAAAAAGAGAGACTGTGCCTCATATTTCTTATGGTAGGGCATGTTAGGGTAAGCACTAGACTGCGATGCACAAGGTTGGCTGTTCAAACCTATAAGCCACTCCTTGGAAAACCCATACAGGCTTGCTGTGAGTTGAACCGGCACTTCACAACAACAATGACAACAAACATTTCCCAAACTGAACTGAAGAGAAACTTGAAGTCTCGACTTGGCAATATTGGAGGATTCTATGGACAAAATATTGAATGCTGCAGGAAGGCTCAAAAGAAGAGGGCAGGAATGTAGAGTCGCTGGGCCTAAAGGAACTAGTTGACGTTCACCCATTTGAGGAGGAAGCATAGCATCCAGGACTATAATAGGACTGAAGACAGAAGGCCAAGGTGCTCTGAAGGCGTTACCGAAAAAACGTGACTCCAGGAATTGACAGAATACCCAGTGAAAAGTTTCAGTAAAATGATGGCGCCATGACAAGGCAAGAAGGCAGAGAGTACCTTCATTCCCATCAGCAAAAGACCGGGGAAGCCAGCTTTGGTACATCCACATAATGGAGTACCAGGAAACGTTGAAGAATACCGATGACGTCGGTGAACCTGGAAGACGTTCTGCTGAGTGAAATTAGTCAATCACAAAAGGACAAATATTGTGGGAGACCACGATTGCCAAATGTCAGGAAAAGGTTTTCTTGGTAAAAAAGGAACATTCTATGATGGCTATCGGGGATGGTCGGGAAGGAACAAATTATTCACTTTCTAGAAGGTAGACACAAATCGGGCTGTGAACCTTAAGGTCAGCGGTTTGAAACTACCAGCCGCTCCGCGGGAGAAAGATGAGGCTTTCTACTCCCGTAAGGATTTACACCCTCGGAAACCCTGTACAGGGTCGCTATGGGTCGGAACCGACTTGATGGCACTTAACAACAACAACAACAGAAGGTAGACACATGTTAACTTGGGTGACTGGGAAGGCAGTTTAAAAAAAAATAGGCAAAAACCCAAGTATATTGGTTGTCTTAAGGAAACGCATTTGTGCAGTTAGAAAAATGGTAGGCTTTGGCATTAAGCTTGATGCTTTTAAAAGAAAATGAAGTTAAAAAACAAAACTCATGCAGCCCTGGAGGTACTGTCTAGTCTATGTCAAGAAATTTGGGAGACGGCTACTTGGCCAGCCAATGACAAGATCCATATTTGTGCCCGTTCCAAAGAAAAATGGCCTTGCAGAATGAGGAAACTATTGAACAGTATCATTAATTTCTCATGCAAGGAAAATTGTACTAAAGATGATTTTAAAAAAGATCACAGCAGTGCGTTGACGGAGCTGTCAGAAATTCAAGCTGGATTCACAAGTGGACGTGGAACACGTGCTGGTATCCAGTGCTGGATTCAGAAGAGGACGTTGGAACAAGAGATCTCATTGCTGACGTCAGATGGATCTTGGCTGGAAGCAGAGAATACCAGAAAGATGTTTACTTGTGTTTTATTGACTACGCAAAGGCACCTGATTATGTGGGTCATAACAAACTGTGGATACCATTGTGGAGAATGGGAATTCCAGAAGCCTTCATTGTGTTCCTGTGGAATGTACATAGACTAAGAGGCAGTCATCCGAACAGAACAAGGGAATAGCGGATGCTGAAAATCAGAAATGGTGTGCATCAGGGTTATATCTTTTCACCATGCTTCTTCAGTCTGTGTCGTGAGCAAAAAAGCTGGGCTATCTGAAGACTGCGATGTCTGGATTGGAGGAAGGCTCATCAACAACCTGCAGCACACCGATGATAACCACCTTGCTTGCTGAAAACCTAGAGGACTTCAAGCACTTGCTGATGAGGCTCAAAGACCACAGCCCTCAGTATGGATTACAGGTCAATGTAAAGAGAGTAGAAATCCTGACCGCAGGACCAGGATAAGCAGAGGAGAGATTGAAGTTGTCAGTTCATTTTAATTGGATCCACAGTCAACGCTTATGGAAGCAGGAGTCGAGGAAGGTGAATGGTCCATAATTAGGAAATTCTGCTACTCAAGA